GAATGGACTGAACAGTGTGTGGAATTAGTCTGGCATGACTTGCCTTGGCTCGTGCTGTTTGTTCACTGGTGGGAGCCCTATACTGAATTATCCATTATTGAAAGTTCAAAGTGTGCAGAAAGAACCACACTTCAAAAATAAAATGTCAACATTGTCCTTTCTCTGTTGGAGCCTAATGTTCATTATTTTCTTTAGTTTTTTTTTTTTATAAGTATTGAACTTTTTTTCTCCATGTGCAAGTATGCCACAACCCTGTTTCTAATGGAGCTTGAAATTAGCATGCATTTCCATTTAATTGTTGATGACTGTCATTGATCAACCCCTCTTTTTGATTAGAATTTAATTTGTGTTTTTTCACTGGCTGCAAGTTTGGAGTAATGCATGTAATGTAAATACAGTTCAAAGGGCAACCTCAGATGTTCTAAATACTTGTAACATTTGCTCGTTTGGAACAATATTGTACGAGTAGTATGATGGGATTTTTTTTTAATGTCTGTCATTTTTTTCATGTTCCTTTCTTTTTTTTTTTCTTTTCTTTTCTTTTTTTCTTTTTTTTTTTTTTTTTGAGAAGGAGTTCGCTCTTGTTGCCCAGGCTGGAGTGCAATGATGCAATCTTGGCTCACTGCAACCTCCGCCTCCCGGGTTCAAGTGATTCTCCTGGCTCAGCCTCCTGTGTAGCTAGGATTACAGGAGCCCGAAACAGTGCCCACTACTTTTGTATTATTTAGTAGAGATGGGGGTTTCTTCCATGTTGGTCAGGCTAGTCTTGAACTTCCAACCTCAGGTGATCCGCCTGCCTCAGCCTCCCAAAGTGCTGGAATTATAGGTGTGAGCCACCACACCAGGCCTCATGTTCCCATTTTATTAAAACGAGTGATGGAACTATATTGTGGAAGTTACTGTAATTTTCATCTTTAAGAGATTATTTTATTTTAGACTAAAGGGGCTTAACAGAAGACAAATTGGTCTTTATTATTTTTTTTTTTTTGAGACGGAGTTTCGCTCTCGTTACCCAGACTGGAGTGCAATGGCACCATCTCGGCTCACCACAACCTCTGCCTCCTGGGTTAAAGCATTTCTCCTGCCTCAGCCTCCTGAGTAGCTGGGACTACAGGTGTGCACCACTGTGCCCAGCTAATTTTTGTATTTTAGTAGAGACAAGGGGTTTCACCTTGTTGACCAGGATGGTCTCAATCTCTTAACCTCGTGATCCCAAAGTGCTAGGATTATAGGCATGAGCCACTGCGCCTGGCCGTTGTCTTTCTTAATTGCTAGTTTTAAGGCTAGTTTTTTTCCTGGATTGCTTAGTTTTGACTATTTCATTCCATTATATCAAGCTGTGAATTTCCTTCATTTTCTTGTTCTGAGGTTTCATTATTAAATATTGTCAAAAATAAGTGGATCATCAGCTGTCTTGAAAGTATTTTATTGCTGTGGTTTATTTTATTTTGTCAGTATTTGACATTCTGAATTGAAGATGTGAGTTGGAAGCCTGGCTAATTACCAAGTTACATAATCCTGTATTTGTTTATTAACCAGGTTAGACTACAGACTGTTCTTGAAACTGAAAGTGCTGTTATAAGTCAGAAAACACATTCATTATGGCCTATTTCAAATTAAATGAATGATAGAGCCTTTGATAGAGCCTGTGCCCTTTGTGGCTCTGATACATGCTTGCTTTCTAGGCAAACATGCATTGTTACCCTATGGTATGTTGAGTGTTTTGTTAGGTTAAATATTTCAGTAATAATCCAAACTTTTTTTTTTTTTTTGAGATAAGGTCTCAAAAAATAAGGTCACCCATGCTGGAGTGCAGTGGTGTGATCTCCAGCTCATTGTAACCTCTGCTCCACTGGGCTCAAGCTGTCCTCCAGCCTCAGCCTTCTGAGTAGCTGGGACCATAGGTGTGTACCATCACACCCAGCTAATATTTAATGTTTATAGTGGAAGCAGAGTCTCACCATGTTGCCCAGGCTGGTCTCGAACTCCTGAACTCAAGCGATCTGCCCACCTTGGCCTCCAAAATGCTGGGATTATAGGCATGTGCCACTGTGCCTCCAAACTCTTAATCAGGGTTTAAGGCTAGTATTGTGAAATATGATGGTGCAGTGAATAAGCTAGAGGCTGAAAGGGAGAGAGATGTTACTATTACTGATGAATCAGTGTTTTTGGGTGTTACATTCCTGGGGATCTCTAAATTGGCATAAGGTTTCATGAGGGATTCATTCATTACCATTCTCTTGCTTCTTTGGACCTGGGTTATCACGTTTTTAGAAAAGCTTTGGAATGACTTTGAAGTGTGTCTTTAGAAACCTGCCATTTTGGAGAGAAGTGACTAAATGAAGTGTGAGTTTGATCCCTTGAGAGGGGAAAAAAAAGTCCAAGGAAATGGAAGATGGCAACTTTTGAGAGAAATTTATTTTGGGGTCTTTAAGACCAGTGAAAGGTGTGATTTTTTTTTTAGTAGCTTTGAGTCAGTCTAAAGCAGTAGTTTGCTGTTATCTCTCTCTCTTTTTTTTTTTTTTGTTTGAGCTCACTCTGTTGCCCAGACTGGAGTGGGAGTGCAGTGGCATGATCTCTGTTCACTGTAACCCCTGCCTTCAGGATTCCAGCAATTCTTCTGCCTCAGCCTTCGGATTAGCTGGGATTACAAGTGTCTGCTACCATGCCTGGCTAAGTTTTGTATTTTTAGTAGACACAAGGTTTCACCATGTTGGCCAGGCTGGTCTTGAACTCCTGACTTAAGTGATCCACCTGCTTTGCTTCCCAAAGTGCTGTGTATAGGCAAGAGCCACTGTGTCTGGCCATTTTGCTGAATCTCAATTGCATTGGGAAGGGCTCACTTAAATACAGTACATTTATGAAGTCTGCCTTGCAAAGCAATGTGCTGTGTGCTGGAGAGATGTTAATGTGTAAGCCACCATTGCTAACCCTAGGAAATTTATGAACTCAGGAGATGAGATTTGGCAAAATAATTGATAGGTAGGAATTGGCAATTTATACCCATTATTTTTGCTCATCTCTAATGAGAGATGTCTCTTATTTCTTTGTGCATGTCAGTGTTGCTAGATGAAACCTAAAGCAGTTGAGCTACTTCAGTTAAACATACATAGAGTGTTTGATTAGATGAAAGTTACCACGATCAAAAAAACTGTGGTGCATGTGCTCAGAAGAGCTCAGTTTCATGGAAGACACACACACACACACAAAATACTGCTATGTGGCAAGTGCTAGGGGATGTTGTGTCTTTTTGTGAGCTCTTTTTGTGAGGTAGAGATGACAGATGTCTGAGTCTTGAAGGAGAATCAGTAGCTTTCCAGTTGGAGAAGACTGAAGGGTGCTTTGGGCAGAGAACGGTCGTGTGTAAAGATCTGGAGGCATGCACATATTACTGGGGAATATTTTCATGGAGTGGAGACAGGTTATAAGGCTGACAGGCTAGTTTAGGCAAGGCTCACGGGAGTTTTGGCTTCATCCTGTCTGTGCTAGGGAAACAATACTGTGGCCACCCCCCCAGAGGGAGTGACCCAATGATAATGATAACTAGGGCTCCCTGAGGAATGATTGGAAATTAGAAGACTCCCAGATACCAGAGATAACAAAGACCTAGGCTAGAGCCCTGAGAACAGGAAGGAGTTAGCAGGCTGAGTGAGGTGTGTACTGAGGTGCAGAGGAGAAAGAAAATGAGGCTAGTCTCCTTCTAGGGACCCGGTTTGGTGGAACTTTGGTCAGCGAAGAGGGGGAAGGCCACAGTGGGAATATACTGGAGAACAGAGGGGATACTTGATTTGGGGTTCATGGAGTTTGAGGAGCTCAGCTCTGCAGTTAAGTGCATGGAGAAGTCCTGTGCTTGTGAAAATGCAGCTCTGGTGAAGGCATGTCTCATCCCTTCCCACATTTACTGTGGTAACTTGAAGAGGTAGGATTTGCTCCTTTACCTTTGCTTTTTAGGGGACGGAGGAAAGGGGTTGTTTCAGTTTCTCAAATAGTTGTTGTGAACAGTTAAGAGTACAATGGGTCCAAATATTTTTAAGATAGGAAGTATAAAGCTCAACCCTCTAATGCCTTCTGAATTTCTTAGCTTTTCTTTCTGCTTATTCTCTGCCATTTCACTGTGCATCCTCGATTTTTCACTCACTGTGGTTCCTGGAAGGTTCTGGTGTTCTTTGACACCATTGCCTTTCGCAACCTGAAACAACCTCCCTGCCCCCAAAACAGTATGTCAGAAACTCAGTGAGGCCTTCCTGACTATTTGGGGATTGTCTTTTGGGGGTTCCTGGAGCACTTAGAACATTATACCTTCTGTTGTATTGTAACTCTTTTCCTGTATAGACTACTAAGCACTTTCCTCCCACTTTTTTGGGGGGAAAATCTTCAAACCTACAGAAAAGTTGAAAGAACTACAGTGAGTACTTGATTTACCAGATGACCAACTGTTAACATTTTTCGAATTTTCTCAGTTACTCTATGTAAACTTAGGAGTCATTTGAAGACCTCATGCCACTTCACTCTCCAGCATGTTATTCTGATGAATAATGTAACAGGCCCCCCTGATACTACTATTACACTCAAGACCTTTTATATTGATATGGCAGCATGTAATACCTTTTAAAGAGCAGTCTGAGGGGTTAGCATTGGCTCTCCCTGAGAGCTCTTGAGAAATGCAGAATCTTAGGTCCTACCCTAGATATTATGAATCAGAATCTGTGTTTTAACAAGCTCCCCAGAAGTACTGATTTTTTTATACAGTCCATATTCAGATTCTCCCAGTTGTTCTAGTGATATAGCCTTTATGGTTTTTCTTTTTTTTTTTTTTTTTAATCAGAAATCAATAAAAGATCACATATTGCATTTGGTTGTCACGTGTCTTTAGCCTTCACTTCCAGCTTCCCCACTTGGGACTGTGATATTTTTGTAGAGTTTAGGTCAGTTTTGTAGATGTTCTATATTTTGGATTTGTCAGATAGGTGTGATGATTTTTTGTTTGTTTGTTTTTTGAGATGGAGTCTCACTGTCATCCAGGCTGGAGTGCAATGGCTCGATCTTGGCTCACTGCAATGTCTGCTTCCTGGTTGAAGGATTCTCATGCTTCAGCCTGCCAAGTAGCTGGGACTACAGGCATGTACCACCATACCCAGCTAAGTTTTGTTTGTTTGTTTTTAGTAGAGATAGGGTTTTATCATGTTGGCCAGGCTGGTCTCAAATTCCTGACCTCCAGTGATCCACCCACCTTGTCCTCCCAGATTACAGGCATGAGCCACCATGTCTGGCTTTTTTTTTTTTTTTTTAATGGAGTCTTGCTGTGTTGCCTAGGCTGGAATACAGTGGCTGTTTGCAGGCACAATCATTGCATGCTAAACTCCTAAATTCCTGGGTACAAGTGATTCTTCTGCCTCAGCCTCCCTAGTAGCTGGTACTGTTGGTGCAAGTCTCTGTACCTGGCTTGATGTTTCTTTCTTAGGGCATTCAGTGGGTCAGATTATTCCACTGGTGATGATGCTAAGTTTAAACACTTGGTTAAGTAGCATTTTCCAGATTCCTGTGTTATAAGGACAGAATGGTCTTTTGGTCTTATTAATTAATTGCTGCAGTGATCTGCTAGCAATTTCCAATTCATCTTTCTGTCTCTGGCATCTAGCAAGATTCCTGAACATAATTGGTCAGTCATTGATGAATGGATGACTAAATAGGTCATCCGAGATACATACTACAATACAAGTTTCAGAGGCCATTTTTTCTTGTTTTCTTTTTTTAGTTTTTATTTTTGTAGAGACTGGGTCTCTACAAAAGACACAGGCTGTTCTGGAACTCCTGGGCTCAAGCGATCCTTCTGCATTGGCTTCCCAAAGTTCTGGGATTACAGGTGTGAGCCACTGAGCCTGGCTCACTCTTGTTTTTCTGCTCAGTCTGGGTAACTTCTCAGATTCTCTAATCAAGTCCAGGCATCTTTTTGCCTGGCTCTCCAACAAAGTACCTTACTCTTCTTCCTGTGCGCTTCTTAGCTGTGTGAAAGGTTTCTCCTCCCTTAGTCCCATTGTGTTTTTAAATTTTTATAGATTGATTGATTGATTGATTGAGAGGGAGGCGCATTCTGTTTCCTAGGCTGGAGAGCAGTGGCATGATCTCAGCTTACTGCAGCCTCTGCCTCCCGGGTTCAAGTGAGTCTCCTGTCTCAGCCTCCTGATATTTTTATTTAAAAAAATGATTTTTGGCTCAAGGAAATCAGTTTGGTCCCATTGTTCTAAAACAAAAACCTCTTCTATATTTTCTCTTTTCTCTTGTGCCTCCAGTCCAGATGCTTGTTTCACATTCTTTGCTTTTTAGACTAGTCATCCAGTCTCATGGAAACAGGGACTTTCCTCTTTATCCATTATCAGTTTTTATTAAGGCTTGATGCAGCTTATATAAAACGCTCTTCCATTGTTAATGGTCTCAACTATAATACGATGGAAGCTAAGGAAATGAACATAGATATCCAGTCCATACAGCAAACTGTCACTTCACCTCAGGAGCTTGTTTTGTTTTCCTTCACTTGACCTCTCACTGCTTCTTGCTCTATTCCAGCCCCATTGGCCTTCTCTTTTTGTCAGTCCTGTGTTGCCTCTGCCTGGAATGCTCTCTTCCCCCAGGTACTCACTTAACTGGTTCTTTCCTGACTTTGAGATTTCAGCTCAAGTGTTGTCAAGACAGAAAGACCTCTAAGGACCCTACCTAATTCCATTACCATTACGCTGCTTAATTTTCTTCCTAGCTCTGATATTGTCTTCTTTGTTTAGTTATTTATGCCATTACTGCAATGAAGGCTTCATGAAGGCAGGGATCTTTTTTTTCTTGTTGCACTCATATTGGTGAGTGAAGGCTAAATGATTGGCTGAATATTGTTTTTTTAAGGTTTACTTTTTATCCTTTGCTTAGTGCTTTTTGTTTTAATCTGTTTGTCTCCTGATACTTATAGCACAGCAACTCCAACTGCTCTCATTGCCTTTGGTGCCTGCAAGAAAATAAGAAAAGGAGCAAAATAAAAATGATGTAGCTGTTTTATTATTATTATTATTTATTTATTTATTATATTTTTATTTTTGAAACAGGGTCTCCCTCTATCACTCAGCTTGGAGTGTAGTGGGATGATCATGGCCCAGCGCAGCCTTCACCTCTCAGGTTCAAGTGATTATCCCACCTCAGCCTCCTGAGTAGCTACCTGGGACCATGGGTGTGTGCCACCATGCGCAGCTAATATATATATATATATATATATATATATTTTTTTTTTTTTTTTTTTTTTTGAGACGGAGTTTCGCTCTTGTTACCCAGGCTGGAGTGCAATGGTGCGATCACGGCTAACCGCAACCTCCGCCTCCTGGGTTCAAGCAATTCTCCTGCCTCAGCCTCCTGAGTAGCTGGGATTACAGGCGTGAGCCACCATGCCCAGCTAATTTTTGTATTTTTAGTAGAGACGGGGTTTTACCATGTTGACCAGGATGGTCTCAATCTCTTGACCTCGTGATCCACCTGCCTTGGCCTCCCAAAGTGCTGGGATTATAGGCGTGAGCGCCACCACGCCCGACCTATCTTTTTCTTTTTAAAAATTTTTTTGTAGTGGTGAGGTCTCTATGTTGCCTAGACTGATCTCAACCTCCTGAGCTCAAGTGATCTTCCCAACCTTGGCCTCCCAAAGTGCTGGGATTACAGGCCAGACTGTGTCTTCATTAAGTGTTGCCTTGATTTTTTTTTTGGCCATTACCAGGAGATTTGAGAGTTGAGGTTCTGAATGCTGTGTTAACTCTGCTTAATGCAGATGCAGCCTGGCATACCTGTGATGGCACTAAGTAATCCACCACAGTCTTTTGTCTTGTGCAGTGTGACAGTTAATGTTGCTTTCGGTACTTTTAATTTCTGAATTTCCTGATTTGCATTTAAATGAACCATCCTACCATTTCATTAAGTTAACCTTGTTAAAAAAAAAAGAATTGGCATTGAGTAGCATGGTAAAGATAGTCTAAATCTGCCACAATATAATGATGAAAATTCAGGAGCCAGACACATTTTAAGGATGATGTGGCGATTCTGTTGTAAGTGAATGTTGAATGTCTTTGGAGAAAGTAGGTAATTCTTTGCACAAATGAGGCAATTTGCCAATTATCAGCCCCCTTGGTTCTGATAGAACTACGCTTTTATTTTCTCCTCTTTGCTTCTCCATTTCTCTTTCTGTTGTAAAGATTGCTAGCCAAATGATTGCATCTCTGCCCCTTTCTGAATTTATAGCAAACTTTTGCTCTATAGCTAAGATTGCCATTTATAAGGTAATGAAGACCAAATAACTACAGTTTAACTTTTATTTAGTTCCATTAAGCATGATTCCTCCTGGAAAAACCTAGGGTTGCTGTAATTCATTAAGGTTGGCTAGCTCTAGTAGGTTTTGTAATAGATCTTACAAAGGAGTGCTCTGGAAGTTAATTGGAAAAGTAGGAACTGCCAAGAGTTTAAAAGTTATTTGTTTAGTTACTCTGAACAATACCATTAATTTTAGAGAACCAGAAGATATGACTCAAATTAAGACAGGAGCCTTGTCTTGGGAGACTTGTAAATATTTGCAAATCATGTTGCATAAATTCAGCTGAACTAATAACTGTCTGCCCTGCATAAAGCTCCTAGACAGCAACTTAAGGGATATAAAGAAACATAAGCATAGTTATCATTTTTAAACTTAAAATATAGCTCTGAAGACCATATGCTAAACCTGAGAAAATTAATTAAGTTTAATAAAACAATTCAGTGGTTGTTGAATGATAACATAAATGAAAAGAGTACCAGAATTTCCGGACTGGAAGGATTTGGAGTATAGAATTCAACCTCTTTCATTTTATAGATGATAAAACCAAGGATCCAGAAAGGTAAAGTGACTTACCCAAAAGTCAGAGAATAAGTGACAGAACTGATTCCAGAAGCTGATGTTTCAAGTAGAACACCTTCTCTTTAGATTTTAAGCTACCTTTATTTTTTGAAATCCTTTTAGGATTGGGATCACTAAAAACATGCCTTGGCTCTGTAGTATCATTGCATGATGTTTGGTGTCACTCTTGGCAGGACCCTGCCTTCATGAAGCTTACACTGTAGTAATGGCATAAATAAGTAAACGAAGACAGTTTGAGCTAAAAGAAAATTAAGCAGGGTAATAAGAAATGGAATTAGTATGGTCCTTAGAGCACTTTTCTGTCATGACAGCATTTGAGCTGAAATCTGAAAGGAAAAAACTGGTCTTCTGGGGGAGGAGAGCATTTCCAGGCAGAGGGAACACAGATGAGGCAGTGTCTTTGAGGACTGACACAAAGAGAAGGCCAGTGTGGTTAGAACAGGGCAAGAAGTAAGTGATCAAGTGAAGGAAAGCACAAAAACAAGCTCCTTGGCACTTTGGATTAAAGGTGCTGTACAGGGCAGTCTGCTTCCATTACGGTTATTGAAAGTCTTGAAAATACACAGAGTTCTCAATTTTCAAGTGTCTGTGTATTTTAAGTTTCTTAATGTAAGTGAGCGGTTAGAGTCCTTTGCTTTAACTCCTTTAGAAGCGGGGTTAGGGAGGCCGAGTCTGGGGAATTTTTTTTTTTTGAGACGGAGTTTCGCTCTTGTTACCCAGGCTGGAGTGCAATGGCGCGATCTTGGCTCACCGCAACCTCTGCCTCCTGGGTTCAGGCAATTCTCCTGCCTCAGCCTCCTGAGTAGCTGGGATTACAGGCACGCTCCACCGTGTCCAGCTAATTTTTTGTATTTTTAGTAGAGACAGGGCTTCACCATGTTGACCGGGATGGTCTCGATCTCTTGACCTCGTGATCCACCCGCCTTGGCCTCACAAAGTGCTGGGATTACAGGCATGAGGCACCATGCCCGGCCCGACTTTTTTTTTATACAGAGTCTCTCTCTGTTGCCCAGACTGGAGTGCAGTGGCAAGATCATGGCTTTGTTGCAGCCTCCACCTCCAGGGCTGGAGCAGTCCTCTGCCTTAGCCTGCTGAATAGCTGGGACTATAGGTGCACAAGTTAACCTTGTTAAAAAGTTTTATTTTTATTTTTATTTTATTTGAGACAGAATTTTGTTCTTGTTGCCCAGGCTGGAGTACAATGGCACCATCTCAGCTTACTACAACCTCTGCCTCCCAGGTTCATGTGAGTCTCCTACCTCAGTCGCCCAAGTAGCTGGGGTCATAGGCATGCACCATGACACATGGCTAATTTTCTATTTGTAATAGAGACAGGGTTTTACCATGTTGGCCAGGCTGGTCTCAAACTCTTGACCTCAGGTGATCTGCCTGCCTTGGCGTCCCAAAGTGCAGGGATTTCAGGCATGAGCTACTGTGCCTGGCTTTCTTTTTTTTTTAATTATTTGTAGAGATGAGGTCTTGGTATGTTGCCCAGGCTGGTCTCAAACTCTTGGGCTCAAATGATTTTCCCATCATCGCTTCCCAAAGAGCTGGGATTACAAGCAGGAGCCACCACACCTTCCTTTTTTTCCCTAATATTAAATTAAATTTATTTTTGCACAGTAAGACATTTTGGAAGTTGTCACTAACATTAAAGTTGGGAGATTCCATGTAAAAATCTTCATCCCTGGCCTCTCTTGAAAAGTCAGATATCTGGAAACCCTGGGTTCATGTGATAAAGATTGCCTGGAGCTGTTGAGCAGGTGGGTATAAAAGCTTTCTGATTTTGAAGTCCTGGCTCCTCCTAGTGGTCCCCATCCCCAGCCTGGAGAGGCCAGGTGCCATTTGGAATTTGTTATTGCGCTGTTGTGCTCATTGTGCTGTTGTGCTACCTTTTTTAAGTTAATAAGTGAGGCCGGGCATGGTGGCTCAAGCCTGTAATCCCAGCACTTTGGGAGGCCGGGGCAGGTGGATCTCGAGGTCAAGAGATCGAGACCATCCTGGTCAACATGGTGAAAACCCCGTCTCTACTAAAAATACAAAAAATTAGCTGGGCATGGTGGCGCGTGCCTGTAATCCTAGTTACTCAGGAGGCTGAGGCAGGAGAATTGCCTGAACCCAGGAGGCGGAGGTTGTGGTGAGCCAAGATCGCGCCATTGCACTCCAGCCTGGGTAACAAGAGCCAAACTCCGTCTCAAAAAAAAAAAAAAAAAAAGGAAGTAAGTGAAATTATTTGTACTCCAAAGTATCAAAATTACAAAAACAAAAGACCAAGAAGGTTTTTAATACAAGAAAAATTAAAGTATTTTTTTGAGAAAGTGAAATAGTTATATGTTGTACTTGTTTAAACACAAATGTGACCACATATGATCTTGAACTCCTGGGCTCCGGCTTGCAGCTAGCTTCACTTAAATTTCCTCTTGGCTCCCTCCCTTTGCAACCCTGCAAGGTTCTATGCTTTATTTGTGTTAATGCAGTATCTCTGGAATGCTAGCATATGTAGGATCCATAGGGCAAATAGTTCCTTCTGAAATGTCTTATCTGTGACATTTGATGACATTTGCTTGAGCTGTGTCAGCCCTTTAGCAGTCTAGGGCATTCTGTTTCCTAAGGTTTACTGATTTGGGTTGATCAGTTGAGTAGAAAATAACCTTTAAAAACCAAAGTGTAGGCCTGACATTACATGAATGTAGAGAGCAAATTCATCCACCCTCAATAAAACAGATGACTGGGACACTGGCATTCTGTGTTACCACATTAGGCAAATTCAGATTCCTTTTGGCACCCCTATCTCTAGTGATTCTAGATTTGATGCTTGGATAATGGCAATATAATGATGAAAATTCAGAAATTTAACATTGATACAATACTATTTAATTCAGTACCCATAATCAAATTTTGTCAATGTCTTACTTTTTTCCCCTTATCAATATAATTTCAGTCCATCATCTCTGTATTTAAGTCTCTTTGGCCTTCTTTAATCTGAAAATATTTCTTTTATTATTATTATTATTATTTTTTAGACAGAGTTTCGCTCTTGTTACCCAGGCTGGAGTGCAATGGCGTGATCTCGGCTCACCGCAACCTCTGCCTCCTGGGTTCAGGCAATTCTCCTGCTTCAGCCTCCTGAGTACCTGGGATTACAGGCACTCGCCACCATGCCCAGCTAATTTTTTATATTTTTAGTAGGGACAGGATTTCACCATGTTGACCAGGATGGTCTCGATCTCTTGACCTCGTGATCCACCTGCCTCGGCCTCCCAAAGTGCTTGGATTACAGGCGTGAGCCACCGCGCCTGGCCCTGAAAATATTTCTTAATCTATTTTTGTTTCTTTTGGCTTTGATATTTTTCAAGACTACAGGCAGTTAATTTGTAGACTCTCACTCTTTGAATTTGATATTTCTTCCTGACTACGTGAGATTATGTAATTTTTAGGTGAAATAACACAGAAGTGATGATGTATCCTTCTCAGCACATCTTGTCGGAGGTACATGATGTCGGTTTGTGCCCTTATTAGGGGAGGTTAATTTTGATCACTTACTTAAGGTGGCATCCCAGGTTTCTAGACTGTAAAGTCAATATTTTCCCCATTTGTCATAAATAAATAATCTGTTGGGAGTTATTACGACACTAAGTCACACACTACTGAGAAACTGAATGCTAATCTACTTGGCTAGCATTCTTTGATTCTTGCCTGAAGCAGTTAATATTATGGTTCCTGAATGCCGATTTTTCTAAATACATGATTCTTTCTACATTTATTAGTTTGTTTCCTATTGTTTGGAAGAACTTTTCCTTTATATTAGCATGGACTCATGCATTATTCAATGGATCATACTTTGTTTTATCTAATCTCCGCAAAAGGCAGTGGTTGGTAGTCTTCTATGAGGGATCTAGTTCAAGGTTCTTTTTTTCTTTTCCCCGGAGATGGATTCTTGCTCTGTTGCCCAGGCTGGAGTGCAGTGGTGCGATCTCAGGTCATTGCAACCTGTCTCCCAGGTTCGAGTGATTCTCCTGCCTCAGCCTCCCAAGGAGCTGCGATTACAGGTGCCCACCACCATGCCTGGCTAATTTTTGTATTTTTAGTAGAAATGGGGTTTCATTATGTTGGCCAGGGTGGTCTCAAATTCCTGACCTAAAGTGATCGATCTGTCTGCCTTGGCCTCCCAAAGTGCTGGGATTACAAGCATGAGCCACCATGCCCAGCCAGTAATGGTTTTGACATTCATTGCTAATTCTTGCCTGGATCAGTTATTACAGTAGGGGTTGCAAAATGGTCATTTTCTAATTCTATTCTAGATTTATGGTAAAGAAATTCCTTCCCCATACCCCTTGCTTTTAAGGATATTTATCCAATTATTTGGTTATAGACAGTTACAATCATTGTTTTCTTTGATATTTGTCCTAAATTTGGCCGATGGGAGCCCTGGCTTACTGTGTCTTTTGATACGATCTGTTAGTCTTGTCCCCTTTCCACAGAATACATTGCTTCAGACCTGGAGTCCTGGTTTCTATTAATGGGAATTGGTCCTTTTAAAAAATAAAAAAAATAAAAAATAAATGGGAGTCTATGTTGCCCAGGCTGGTCTCAAACTCCTGGGCTTAACTGATCCTCCTGCCAAAGTGCTGGTATTACAGGCAGGAACCAGCATGCAAATGATATTTGATAGAAACAAAGACTTGGGCACTGATAACACTGTTTTTTTTTTTTTTCCTTTTTTTTTATTTAGACAGAGTCTCACTCTGTCGTCCAGACTGGCGTGTAGTGGTGTGATCTTGGCTTGCTGCAACCTCCGCCTCCAGGTTCAAGTGATTCTCCTGCCTCACCCTTCTGAGTAGCTGGGATTATGGGCATGTGCCACCACACTGGGCTAATTTTTGTATTTTTAGTAGAGACAGCGTTTCACCATGTTAGCCAGTCTGGTTGTTTTTGTTTTTTAATTTGACAACATTGTTTTAAAGAGTAGCATTGTATTCCATTGTGTGGTTGTTACATAATTTATTGAGGGATGTGTTGTTTGAAATTTAGGTAATTTATAATTTTTAATGATTATATACAGTGGTATTGTGAACATCATTGTATTCACGTTTTTACATGTTCCCTAACTTTAGAATAAAATTCTAGCACTAGATTTCCTGGGTCATAAGAATGTACTTTTTAAAGCTTTTAAATGTCTATGAGCAGTTTGTTGCCTAGGTTTATTTAGTACTGTCTTTTTTTTCCCCTTTATTAATTGAAGGCACTACTTTTAGAAGAATAGATTAACTTATTTTCGTGATGTTTTCTCCTTATTCTTAAAGCCGATGTCTAATGGAAGTTTCCCTTGACACTGATACAGTGATATTTGACTAAGTGTGACTTGAAATTTCTTCTGGCTATGAGTGATATTAGCTGTGGGTGCAGAGGGCAGCCAACTTAAGCATCATGTTTTAATAGAATAAGACAAGATGTTCTCTAAGAATCCATCAAAAAAGGAAGTGAGGCATACCTTTTAGATACTACTATATCATAAATGTTCTGGAGTAGGAAGAATCATCTTCTGTAGTAGTTTTTGAAGAAATTTCTTTGAAAGTCGCTTTCATTCACTTTAGCTTTTCATCTTGCTCTAAAGGTGGGGCAGATAAACTGAGTAGGAACTGAATTAGGAAGTCTTGGTACTACAGAAGCCCAAATGGAAACGTTTTGTGTCCTTGGGAATGCCCTCTTGTAGTACCCTAGTATTTGTAAACCTGAAATTGTTAAATATTAAGAGGTCGTAAGGTTTACTGGTTCCTCATGTGCAGGCTAGTTAAAATTTTTTCATTTGTAGTGAATGTAGCTTTCCTGATGCAAAAGTCCCACAGCAGAAGATTTGTTACATATTTCATGTTTGTGTTTGATGTTTGCCTGACTGACTTTTTGTTTCTTTTTTAGAAATGACTGCTGTTCACGCAGGCAACATAAACACAGGCAACATAAATGTCAAGTGGGACCCCAAAAGTCTGGAGATCAGGACTCTGGCAGTTGAGAGACTGTTGGAGCCCCTTGTTACACAGGTAAGAATCTGAAAACACAAACATATTGTAACATGGTTCTATAGCATAGGCCTGGGTAACAACCTTAAGATAAGGTTATTTAGTTCAAAACCTTAATTTCAGTGCTTGAGTCTAGGTGGCAGTTTTTAGATGATTTGAATATTGATGTATGGGTTTATTTAACCCTTGAGAATGCTGCTGCTGCCGTTTTCTTCAGTCTTATTGACAATAACTGGGGTCCATGGTGTGTAGTGCAACTTTGCAAATGTTTGTGCTTTGCAGATACTTTACCTTTATTTAGAGGGGAAACCCAAGAAAGGTGGGATGTGGATCCTTGATTGTTAAGGTCTTTCACTCTGCTTGACACACCTTTCATTGTGGGGGATTAATTAGCAGGTAATTCAACTTGAGGGTTTAGGTTTGGTATGTTCTATTACAAATGTCACAATGTTAGGATAATTTTTATTTATTTATTTATTTATTTATTTTTGAGATGGAGTTTCGCTCTTGTTACCCAGGCTGGAGTGCAATGGCGCGATCTCGGCTCACTGCAACCTCCGCCTCCTGGGGTCAGGCAATTCTCCTGCCTCAGCCTCCTGCTGGGATTACAGGCACGTGCCACCATACCCAGCTAATTTTTTGTATTAGTAGAGACGGGGTTTCACCATGTTGATCAGGATGGTCTCCATCTCTTGACCTTGTGATCCACCCACTTCGGCCTCCCAAAGTGCTGGGATTGCAGGCTTGAGCCACTGTGCCAGGCCCAGGATAATTTATTAACTGTTAGCAACTAGCTGTGCACCTTTAGTATTTTGCCACAGTGTGTGTGTTTGTATGTGAGAGATTCAGAGAAAGAGAAAATGAGTCTTTTTTGGCAAATTTGCACTATAACAAATTTTAATAATCTTTCACCTACAGATCATCTGGTTTTATGTGTATTAATGATGGTAATGTTCTAGGACATAAAGCATCATCATGTAGGCTTCTTTGGGCAATCATTCCTTTATTAAGGGTGTTTACTAATTAATTGCTGAGATTTGTGTGAATAAACTCTGAAAAGACTTCAGAAGCAGATTATTTTAAAACATTTTGCAAGGTTTGAAAACAGTGGCAGTGTGATCCTCAGATAAAGCTAAATTCATTGTTAACCTCTTTCTGGAACATCTTCGTGACAGTAGTAGAGACATCTAACTTGTCTCTAATCATTTTTTATTTTGTAAAATCTAAAAACCTAATGATCATATTTGAGAAATTAAAAATATGTATATTTCTTATGTACATTGAGAAAGCTGAATTATTTTGAAAATTAAATATAGCATAATTGCTGTATGTCTTAAATATGGGCAATTGTATGTTAATGCTCAGTGGAATCTCATAAATGTGATGTCTTGTTTCTTTATGAATAACTTAATTTTGCTGTCTTTAAAGATATTAGTCCGTCATTTTCATTTTAACTGACTCCAGTTTAATGTTAAAAAATGAAACTTTTAGGTTACAACCCTGGTAAACACCAATAGTAAGGGGCCCTCTAATAAGAAGAGAGGTCGTTCCAAGAAGGCTCATGTTTTGGCTGCATCTGTTGAACAAGCAACTGAGAATTTCTTGGACAAGGGGGATAAAATTGCAAAGGAGAGCCAGTTTCTCAAGGAGGAGCTTGTGGCTGCTGTAGAAGATGTTCGAAAACAAGGTACGTCATTATTGCTTTTCATGTAAAGAGAGGCAGGCCTTTCTAGAGAACCAATCTTTGAAGAAGATTTTTATTTTCTGGTCAGTATTCTCATTCTCATGCTTGCCAATTGCTTAGTAACTTATTGAGTTATTGGAGATATATTAAGTTGTACTGACTCATATTTTAATCATGAGAGATGCTTGCAGAGTGACATCTGGAGAATCTGAATCCACTTTTCTTGGGTGTTTCAAGTAGTAGTTAAGTCTTAGAAATGTTATAACACAATTTGATAGGAAACAAATGGGACAGAAGTTTACCTTTCGTTCTGTGTGATACTTCTTTCTAGTTCATGCTGAAGAGACAGGTGTGATAAAATGGAAAAATATCTACCTAAGTTGAAAATACTCTAGAAATTATCCTGTTATGTCAGATTAGTATTTATTTGTTTATTTTTTTGAGACAGAGTCTTGCTGTCACCCAGGCTGGAGTACAGTGGTACAATCTTGGCTCACTGAAGCCTCCACCTCCCAGGTTCAAGCAATTCTCCTGCCTCAGCCTCCCAAGTAGCTGGGATTACAGGCATATGCTGCAATGCCTGGCTAGCTTTTTCATATTTTTAGTAGAGACACTATTGGCCAGGCTGGTCTCGAACTCCTGACCTTGGGATCCTCCCGCCTTGGCCTCCCAAAGTGTTGGGATTGCAGGCGTGAGCCACTGTGCCTGGCCTAGAATAGTATGTTAAATCAGCCATGCATATTTGTACTGGTTGGAGCTTGACATAAATAAACCTGGGCATAAAGGAATCATGTTTTGGGAAACTCAGAATTGTTAAAAAGTAAAATGGCAATCCACAGTTTACCAATAATTAATGCTAGGGAAATTGTCCTTATTATGTTATAAGTGTGAAAGGAAGACTTTAAATGTGGAAGATAAACTTCTTGAAACTGGAGTTTTTAGCTTTTTAGTAGAAATGGGGTTTCACCAGGTTGCCCAGACTGGTCTTGAACTCCCAAACTCAAACAATTAGCCTGCCTTGCCCTCCCAAAATGTTGGAATTGCAGGCCCGGTGCCCAGCCTTGAAACCTGTAGTTTTGTGTTAGGTTTCTGTTCCAGTTGGAGAATTTCAACAAAGATGTAGGTTTTTAGGTTATTGGATAACAGCTAGGGTAAATCGAGCCCTGCTGTGTACAGGTGCTTTACAGCCTTTGGGAGAACTTTATAGATTTCTGGTGCCTGATAGATAGCATAGACCGGAATCTTATGTCAAATTCATCCGTGTGACAGCACCCAAAAATGGGCAGTGCCTTGATGGAGATGACATCTTCAATTGTTTTCTGAATTTATGAACAAATAACCTTTAGTGGTAAATATTTTTTCAGTTTTCAGTCTGAAAATAAATATTTCTAATATTGCAAATGATGAAATTATTAGAATTCCATAGTGTTAATTAGGAAGGCATATTAGTTTCCTGGGGCTTCTATAATACTATTATAAGCTTGGGGACTTAGAATAACAAAAATGTATTCTCTTATCATTCTGAAGATCAGAAACTAAAATCAAGATGTTGGCAGGCTTGATTCATTGTTGGGACTTAGAAGGAATCTTAGCATGCCTCTTTCCTATACTTTGGTAGTTGCCAGCAATCCTTAGCATTCCTTGGCTTATAGACACATCACTCTGGTCTCTGTCTTTGTTATCATATGCTTTTCTTTTTTTCTGTCTCTGTGTCTAAATTTCTCTCTCCTTATAAGGTCATCAAGCATTGAATTAGAGCCCACCTTAATCCAGTATAACCTCATTATGACTTGATATAATCTACAAAGACCCTGTTTCCAAATAAAGTCACATTCACAGGTTCCAGGTGGACATGAATTTTTGGGCAATGCCCAAAATCAAGCCTTGCCAGCACCTTGATTTCAGATTTCTGATCTTGTAATTCAACCCATTATGTGGGTTTTGAATTAATTTATTTTAAAGTAGTTTAATGGTCCAGTTCAGGACAGTTTTTGAGCTTCCTATTGAGGAAATCAGGCTGTCTCTTATATAATTGTATTCTGTGGTACATTCTCCTCCCCAGCCCTGCTCGTCTCCAATAACAGAATTCACAGTTACATTAACAGATGGGTTTGGGCAAGTGTTTGCTGGGTCTAGTAATTGATATTTCATGTCTTTTTTTTTTTTTTTTCTGAATTGGAGTCGTGGTCTGTCACCCAGGCTGGAATGCAATAGTGCGATCTCACCGCAACCTCTACCTCCTGAGTTCAGGCAGTTCTCCTGCCTCAGCCTCCTGAGTAGCTGGGATTACAGGCATATGTCACTACACCCAGCTAATTTTTGTATATTCAATAGAGACAGGCTTTGCCTTGTTGGCCAGGCTGGTCTCTTATCTGACCTTAAGAGCTCTGTCCTCCTTGGCTTCCCAGAGTGCTGGGATTACAGGTGTGAGCCACCGTGCCTGGCCACATTTCTTTTCAAAATGCATTTAAGTGTTGTAGGTAATTTTAAATTTTACTTTGTATGTTCCTTATTTCAGAAGTTTCTCCAATGCAAATCTGTAGCAATCATGGTATAAGACATATTCCTGTTCCTGAAAACCCTCACAATTTTGAATGCAAATCTGAATTTCTCTTTTCTTCTTATTCGTGTTTATATATGATAATCTTTTATGTGGTTTTGAATCATAAGGACTTATCTGTCCTAGTCCAATTTTGCAATTATTTATTATCATGATCTTTCCACCATAATTTGCCTTCTCTTTGGAAAAAAAGAGCCAAAACCAAAATACAAAATATAATTGCCTTCCATCATCATTATTGCATCAGATATGAAAAGCTGAAATGCCTTACTTTTTCCTCTTGACTTACTTTTTTCTTTGGAGAGTCTTTTTTTTTTTTTTTTTGAGTTGGAGTTTCGCTCTTGTTACCCAAGCTGGAGTGCAATGGCGCGATCTCGGCTCACCGCAACCTCTGTCTCCTGGGTTCAAGCAGTTCTCCTGCCTCAGCCTCCCAAGTAGCTGGGACTACAGGCATGCGCTACCATGCCCAGCTAGTTTTTATATATTATTTTAGTAAAGACCGGGTTTCACCATGTTGACCAGGATTGTCTGGATCTCTTGACCTTGTGATCCACCCGCCTCGGCCTCCCAAAGTGCTGGGATTATAGGTGTGAGCCACTGCGCCTGGCCCTTTTTTGGAGAATCTTAACAAACGGTGATAAAATCTTTTCTATCATAAATAGAACAAAATATGTATTACAAAAATAGTGAATCACAGATTCCTTAATCAACTGAGACTTGTTGGATGTGTTGTTGAAGCTGGTTACTCACTATTTGAAATCCTGTAGTGGTGTTAATAGGTCTGTGGATTCTTTTGACACCTCTTCCTTAAAAAAATAGAGCCTCACCCTTGAACATGGGTTGAACTTAGTGATTCCCACAATGAATAGAATATGGTAGAAGTGGTACTATATACGTTTGGAACAAAGTTATAAAAATGGTGTCGTATCCACTTCACTTTTTCTCATGGATTATTTTCTCTGGGGGAAGCTGTCTGCTATGTCATGAGTGCACTTAGGAGGTCCTAGGGAGAACTGTCAAGCATGTGAGTGAACCACTTAGGAAGCAGATCCTCCATCTTCAGTCAAGTTTCAGGCAACCCCAAATCCCTGACCCATTCGAAACTCTGGGAGTTAATAATTGTTTTAAGCTGCCACCTCTTAGAATAATTTATTAAGCAGCAAAAGAAAATTTATACAAACACTTTGCCCTGCCTTGCCTTCAGTGGTTCTGAGTATTTACATAAACCCTGACCTAACTTCTGAATTTTACTGATATATAAAAATATGCCATCTACGGAAACATTTAATTTTTTTTTTTCCGAGATGGAGTTTCACTCTTGTTACCTAGGCTGGAGTGCAATGGCGCGATCTTGGCTCACCGCAACCTCCACCTCCTGGGTTCAGGCAATTCTGCCTCAGCCTCCTGAGTAGCTGGGATTACAGGCGTGCACCACCATGCCCATCTAATTTTTTGTATTTTTAGTAGAGACAGGGTTTCACTATGTTGACCAGGATGGTCTCGATCTCTTGACCTCGTGATCCACCTGCCTCAGCCTCCCAAAGTGCTGGGATTACAGGCTTGAGCCACCGCGCCCAACCTGGAAACATTTAATTTTTAAAGGATTTTTAAGATGTCTTTGTTCTGAATCAGTATTGACATTGTTTAGGATGGGGGTTGGCAAATTTTTTGTAGAGGGCCAGATAATAAGTGTTTTTGATCTTTCTGATCATAATGTCTGCTGAAACTGTTAATATTCAACTCTGTTGTTGTATTAGGAATTAGCTAGAGACAAGATACAAAGAAATGGGCATGGGGCATGGTCATGTTCTAATAAAACTTAGAAAAATTACGGGCTGTAGTTTCCTAATCCTGACCTAGAGTTTTCCCAGGCTGTTAAAGATATAAGCTTACTGTCTTCAAAAAAGTACTTATTTATGTGTGTGTTTATTATACTTTGAGCCAAAAATTAGACCTTCTGTATTTTTGGGTTTGTACATTGAATGTACACAGTTTTTGATGTGTAACTTTCTTTTTGTGTTAGTCCCTGATTACATGAGTAATGAATATGCACATTTGTGAATATGCTAAAATTTCACCATAATGCTATAAGTGAGGTTTAAAAAATTCACACACATAAAAACTTAGAATCTTTTGACTTCAAGGCTAATGAAAGGGTCAGGTGAGCCACATGTGGTGAATGAGAGCCAGTCACCAATTGCATGGCCTCCAAATCCCTGTGATCTAGGAGTTTCATTGTACTACTAATCTGCTTAGTTTTTGAGTCACTACCTTACATAGGCTGAGGTGTACATATGCCTCTTAGATGTGCTGTTTTCTCATTTAAGGATCCTGTTTACCTCCCATGTCCCCCCATCCTGATAAGGTCATTCTTACCTTTCTACTTTTCTTCTTAGTGCTTATCATGGTGGCAATTTAATTGGTTGCCTTTTCCTCTCCATAC